TCATATTATATATAAATTATATATATATATATATATATATTGTATATACAGTATATAAATGTTGGATCCGTTCATGCAATCAATGCATGTATGGCCACAACATAACACACTAATGGCTGTGACACTACTAACACTGTTTCAACATATTTATTGGTCTAACAGTGTGTATCATAATATCATATCATCGTATATATCTTACAAGTCTTTATAACTGTATATACAGTATATATGAGACACTTAACAGATAAGAAATAGACAGATGGGATGAGGATCGGGCCATAACATAGTTTAACATTTAATATGGTATGTCCTGCATAACGGAGTGTCGGTTCTCTCTCTCTCTCTCCTCTGTTTCACTTCTCCCCTCAAAATTGATGCAAAAAAAWTTTGTGGAGTTATATTTTCAATGTATGTATAAATAGCTATATTATACAAAACTTTTTTTTTTATAAAATATTATATTTATATGCAGTAATATTATGTATGTTTTATTTAATAGATACTAAAACATGCGGTTCACAAGTCAACTCAATTTTGACAACTTTTCTCTACTATATATTATTTTTATTATTAATAGCGTAACTCAAAACATAAGTTAGCATTTAAATGAATTATTAATATTATTATTATTATTATGATTATTTTATTGTATATATATTATGCCCATTTGTTAAGCATCTAAATATACTGAAAATTATTTTTATTTATTATTTTGCTTATTTCAATGCCATTTATATTACATAACATATTCAACACACAAACAAACATATACATAATTTAAGCAAATAATTAGTAGTTTTGTGTGTATGTATTTCTATATTATTAAAATGACACTATATATAATTTAGTGTATATCACATTATAAAATATAATAAGCTATTTCTCTAATATATATATATATATATATACTGTATATATGTGCGCAAACCTCAAACTGTGAAAGACTGGAGTAATTGGAAAATAAGTCCCAAACAAATGTTTGAACTGAAAAATTAGGGTCTAGTTTTTGGGCTCAAAACTATAAATATATAATTGAATTTAATGTAAATAAAAAAGCACTGTTAAGTCGACATTAAATATAAAACACAAGTCATATGTTTGTAAAATGTGTGCAACAAAAGTGCTAAAAACAATAACTACAGTAAAAGACCACTTTATTGACGATCAAACAGAGAATCGGATAATTTGTTTTGCATTGAACTGTAAGATCTCTCTCTCTCTCTCTCTCTCTCTCTCTCTCTCTCTCTCTCTCTCTCTCTCTCTCTTAAAGTATATTTTCATTAGACTCTATAATAACTCTCACATAAGTTTTTGTTTATATGTTTTGTGTGTTTTCTTAAGTTTCTTAAACCATATCATTGCTAAAAGTGTTTAGACTTTTGTATAAAGATTTTGCAATTATAAATATAACAAATAATATTTGATGACAATTTATTTTATATACAGTACAGAAATATTTTTGTTTGCAAAATGAGTTAATGCTCTAAATGCTGTAATTTTTATATTTATAAAAATTTGCAAAACAAACTAATAAACTAAATTAAATAATTTAATGGCCAACTAATTATTTTAATTAATGGTATTATTAAATTATATATTTTGCACTTATGTATTGCACAATTAAATATAAATACAGTGTTTATATAAATATTGCGTGTGTATATAAATATAGAGTTAAAATAAACTAATACTAATAAGTCGATATAATTAAACTAAAATAAGATCAAAAAATGGCATTAAAAAACTTGATATAATATACAGTATTTTCAGGCAATCAGTGATTAGCCATCAAATGATGTGGTGTTGTACTCCAACAACAACAACAACAGTACACACTGTTATACCGCCCCAACCCCCGGGACATTATAGCCTATGATATAATTATTAATACGTGATTTGCTGATATAATGCCAAGTGATTGATAAATCATAAACTCATGAAAACTTACACACAAATAAACTTTTAGCATCAATTCAGCCTAAAGTGTTTAAATACAGGTATATATATATATATATATATATATATATATTTATAATGTTTACATTTAATATTTCATATTTTATTATAAAATATAATTAATAATTTAGTGATCAACAAGTCAAACAACAAATAATACAAGTTTTTAGACTAAATATAAATTGATATTTCCTAAACAACTATCAATATATTTAAATAAATATACTGTATTTTTTCAAAATCCTATTATATATACAATTTCAGTAATCAGTGACTCTTGACTTTCGACAAAAAAAATATAAGGAAATTGTGTGAAATTAAGTGTATAAATAATAAGCACTGCTTTTGACAAAAGTTGTGTGATTTTTTTGACGGCTTTTTAATGTTTATTTAAACACAATATTCAATGATTTTGTTGACTCTCTTTCTCTTAATATTGAAATATCGTGCAAAATGTTGCACAACATTAGGTTTTCAAAAAAGCTGATTATTGTTGTTAATATACAGTATTATATACTGTATATCATATAATGATTATCATTTAAGTTCAATATATAGTCAATTGGTTTGTTTTTTCAAATTAACATTTTATTTATTTTATTTTCAAATTACAATTTTAATTGTCTTACAAAATAAAAACATTTGAAAAGTTTATTACATAATAAAAGCCTTTCCATTAAATTTTCAATAATATAATAATATTATTAATTATAATAATTGTTATCATTTAAAAAATAACATTAATATCAATTTCACAATAGTTTGTTTAATATAAATTTATTTATATAATATTACACAATAATTTTTTTTAAATATATCTTTATAATAATAATAATGTAATATTTATTTTTAAAAACTTTTAGATAAATATTTTATTACAAATTTGATATTTATAGCAATAATTACAATAAGTATATCAAAAAACGCAAACCTTAATAATAATAATAATAATAATATTTATTATTATCTCCACTCATAGGGGGATAATAAAGTAGAAAACAATTATTTTCCTACACTTTGTTGTATATATTAACTCCTATTTAATATACTGTTGTTATTCTTTATATGTATATTCAATATAATATACAACTTGTATTGCTTTAATGGAGTAGTAATTATGAAATTTTATTATTATTACTATTATTTTTTAAGAGAAAAGATCAACACTTTTTAGTAGTAGTAGTATTAGTAGTAATAAATGGCATATAGTTTTAATGTTTATTGAAATGAGCCGTAAATGCTTAAAAAAATGAGAGTTAGCTTTGACTGATTGCTCCTCATTGTTGATCACAATTACAGTTGAGATCACACATAAAAATGCGCTAATTATTTGCTCTTTCCGTTTAATAATAATAAAAATTATATATATTTTTTAAAATTCATTTTCTCCCAACGTTTGTCTCACTTTGCTATCTATCTATTATCTATTATACAATGAACTGTATTATTATTATTATTATTGATATTTGGCATCTCCTCTACACCAGTTTAGTTCAGTTATGTTTATAATAGAGAAGATAGAGAGAGAAAGAGAGACTTAGCATTAAAAGACAAGAGTGTATTAAATTTATTTAAATGTATTTTTTCACACTATAAATATTTTCCCAATAAATCGGCAAATTGTTTGTATGTTTTGTATGTATGTATTGGTATATGTCTTATATGTTGTTATCTGTTTCAGAAATATATTTATAATGCCTTCAAAAAATTGAGCTTTAATTTTGTTGCTGTATTTTCTTGAGAGAGAGAGAGAGAGAGAGTTGTGAGCTCTTTTGGATGTCTTTTTTTCGGAGATCTGATGTCTGACACAACACACAGTTTCAGTAAAAACAACAATTTGAAATATTTTGTACATATTTAGTGTGATCACTAAAATAGTGAAAGTTATACGATTCCCATTAAATTAGACTTTTAAAAAGAGAGATATAATACATATAACTTAAATATCATACATGTATTATTCACTATTGTAGTCATCAATTTTAGTGAAAACATTTTTTTTCCTAATTTTTTTCGGTTGTATTTTCACTGACAAAATCCCTATTTCTCCTGACATTTCTATTGCTTAACAATCGTTTAGTCGATGATTGTCTTATTATATGTTTTTTTCTCTCTCTCTAATATTTAAGTACCAAAAACATACAAAAAGTTTTTACTTAATTTAAATTCTTTATTTATATGTCATATATAGCAAAACAAAACAAAAAATTCACGGAATTTTCAATTTAAATGTTTTTATTATTTTTATTTTCATCTATAAATTATTGGAAAAAACCAAATTCTCATCATTATATATATATATAGAAATCTAAAAAATATTAATTATTATTATAATAATAACTTAATTATCAAAATTAATTTAAATGACTATTTATCGCAAAAACAATTGTTTATAAAAATTAATAGTATTTTATAACAGTTTGAAAGACAATTGGTGTGAGATATTTGTTAAGGCATTTACAGCTCATGTAATAAAATATTAAATTTCATATATATATATATATAATACAAGTTTATACATTTAATTTATATGATATAAATAATAGTCATTTATGGCCATATATTTCATATCATATATATTGTTGTTATTATTTTGATGATAGGTATTATTGTCAAGAATATTCTTTATATAACTTTGATATTTATAATAATAATATTAATTTATATATAAATATATATTTATAATAATAAAAATTTAAATCAAATAATATATAATAAGTCGCAAAAATATTATTTACTAACCAACGCGAATGACTACAATATATATAATAATAATAATGTATTATTATTTAATAAAAAATATTGTAAATATATAATCAATTTATTAAAAAATGTTAATGTATTTCAATGATTAAGTTAATTACTGTGTTTTTTGTTTGTCAGTTAATAATAATAATAATTAATGACAAATGAGAAGATAAAAAAACTTAACTAAAAATAACTCTTTAATTTCTTTGTCTATATATATATATATAAATGATAGATAAAGAGATAATGATTTCTTTGGTCACAATTTTTGTGAAATGGCATTTGGGATGTCATAAAACAAACAAACAAAACAAACAGTTTGTTGCCCTAATCTTCCTGTGCATCGTTTGTCGACAAACTTCTGGGCCGACCATTGAGTCCATTGTGTCGCCGGATATGATGCGACCGAAACCGATACGATAGCAATCGACTCGGCAGTGATAAGGATGCCAACACATTGGCCACAATCCCTTGAGATCCCGGAGCCGAACCCGATAGCATCTGTACATATAATACGATAGAAAAAAAAGAAACAGAGAGTTAGTATATAATAACTCTTTAGATATTAGAGTATTTCATATGTTTTTTTTGTGATGTATTTTCTGGTTGTGATATTAGATAAGCAATAGTTTTGCAGATTTTGATTAGTCGTGAAATTTTGTTTCTTTAAAAGTTTTAAATGTTTCGCGACTAATGAGAAGCCATGAACTTTAAAATGTATGCAAATGTTTATTATTATTAGTAGTAGTATTACTGTATTATTATTGATAGCATCGCCTAATGACACCATAGATATCATACACACACACACACACAYATCTTAACCCTATATTAGTGATGCACCGGTAGTTAAAAAGTTTTTGGATTTGCAATAAATAACTCATTACAAAAACAGTACCTAATAATTACTGTATTTGTAACTTCTGGCGCTAAATGGTGGCCATTACCAAAGCGATCAGTGAACTGGTCAAACCAAATACCACCAACACTACTGCCACGTGCACTAAAAGTGTTATATTACAGAGTGGTCTGATTTGTGAGTGTGTGTTAACCAATAAGTACTGGACTACTCCTCGGTCTAAACAGCTATTAGGTTACGCCGAGACTTTAGTGGTCGATGTTTGGTAACCCAAAACCAAACACGATCCTTAAAAATAGGACCTCTCTCTCTCTCTCTCCACTAATTAGGCTATAGTTTAGTTGATCGCTATTTTACTAAATGATGTGTATATATATACTGTGTATATACAGTGATATATATTGTATAAATTGTATATGTATTGATTGTGTACATACAGTTCAGGGACGGGACATGTATTGGCCTTATGTTAGGCGCAATCAAACACAGTTCATGATATGGGTGGAGGACCTGAACATTAAAGGACTGGTAGGACTACTGAAGGACGATATGAGTTTTCTCTTTGAATAATAATATAAGACATATGCTTGCGATCGCTTCAAATAAGAGAAAGAGAGAGAGAAAAAAAGAGAGAGATGTGGGGAACCCTTAGCTTTTTGGCATAAGAGGACAACCAGATGGTGACGTCATTCCCGGGACTCGCTTTTCGATGATTACTGTACTCTTAAGGCTCAGTTAGCTCTTGTTTGGCGAGTGCTAGATGTGGTCGCTCTTTCGTCTATCTTTTCTATTGATAATAGGCTCCCACTGTATATATATATATATCTCCCGGTTTTATACTACTCTCTTAATATATATCTCCCTCTCTCTCCCGACTCGTGCAACTTTTTATCAATACATTAGACATTAAAGCAAATGTAGGAAAAGAGACGTCGTTTTACTTTTTTATGTGATCAACAACTCCTCAGAAACTACAAAACTACTACCAAAAGATAGGGAGAGAGAGATGAAGGGAAAGGGAGACACACACAACACAACAGAGCTAAGAGGGGATCAAATCATTTATTGTRTGTTTCTAATGCATCCAATAATATATGTATGAATATATCTACAGATATATACAGTATATGTATGTATGATATAAGTTGTCTGATTCTTGTTATGGTACTACTGGTGAACCCCTGAAATCGCACTCTTCTACAATTGCCCTCAGTTTCTGCTTTGATTTATCCCTCCCTCTCCTCTCCCTCTCCTATTCCCGGACCAAAGTGTGCTGTAGAGGGTGGCAGATCTAGTAGTAGTAGTGTGTGGGGAGTGTGTGTGTGTGTGTGTTTGATTGTGTGGACGAGCCCTACCAAAATGAAAAAGGTTACACTAAAGGTTAGCCCAGGTTTGACTACTTGAACGCTTCAATTATATTATACGATTCATAGGTAGTAGCGATTCACTCACTCGTATATAGCCTTAATATCTGGACGACTAAAAGATTCAACAAAATTAAAAACTTTTAGCTGAAGTACATCTCTCTCTCTCTCTCTCTCTCTCTCTCTCTCTCTCTCTCTCTCCTGAAGCCAAATCATAACTCATAAATATGATGGACTGATATATCAAATATAAAGTTATATACCGTATATATATGTGAATATATAAATATAATATAAAACACTTCAAGCCTAACATAATAATAACAAATACAACACAACAACAATAATAATAACACAATTGCAGGTGTTTTCCGGACAAACCTCTCTCTCTCTCTCTCTCTCTCTCTCTCTCTCTCTCTCTCTCTCTCTCTCTCTCTCTCTCTCTCTCTCTGTCTGTCTGTCTGTCTGTATATTAAAACAAATCGGAAAGAGAGGCTTTACTTAGCTTTTGCAAAGACTTATCAATAAAATTATATACCAATGGTCTCTTATATGCCTTTCCTCTCTTCTCAACTAATACATAAGCATATAATGTAATGATAATAATAATAATATGGCTATAAATTATATATTCAATATACAATATATTTATTAGATATAACAACTATAGTTTCTATCGACACAACTGTTAGTTAGTCTGCAAATACAGTATAATATAAACACCGTCTCTCTCTCAGCAATAATAAAGTCAGTGCCTCTCATCCCTAAATCTTATGTATATTTTTTCCTATTAAAACAAATCAAAAAAAAATTTTATATATACTTTCCCACAGTATGTCATTTACTTATTTTTCACACCAAATTATTAATTAAGGTTTTATTTTTTTTATTTTATTTATTCACTGTACTGTAGTTATTATAGTTAAGTTTAGCAATTTTAGGCCAAAAAACACACTTTTTTCTCTAAAGCAGTGAATATATATACAGTACTTTATATGGAGAGAGAAAAAAAAATAATCATTTTGTTGTGCACTCAAGTGTTCAATTCATACAATATTTTGCTTATATTTATATTAGTGTTGTGTATAAAAATTTGTTTTTGTGCAATAAATGCTATGCAAATAATAAAAATATATATATATATATAAAGTTTCCTAAAGTTTGGGTGAGTGGACTAAAGTGAGGGGACAGGTCTACATACAAAACAAGCAAATATAGCAAAATCTCCATATGATTTAAGGAACCGGGAGGTGAACACTTACAATACTTACAATGTTTATATATATATATACTGTACAATATTGGACACTATCTACGTTTCTGTCTATCTCTATAACATACAAACCACTAATTGTGTGGTTAATTGTGAGAATAGCTTTCTTTTTTTGGTTAATTAATTTTTTTATTATCGTTAAAACAATTTATTTGTTTTGCAAAATCACTAAAGCCTTCATCGCATAAATCATAATCAATGATAGGTTTAGTTTTTTTTTAAAAAAAAGACAGAGATATTATCAACAAAAACTAAATAAATAATATAATATAAAGAGTTAAGTTTTTTGAGGCCATCATATGGTTTACAACGACAAGGAATTTACTCCTAAAAACATAACATTCACTTAATTTTTGTTTTGTTTTGTCTCTTCTAAATGATTATCTGGAGACACAAATCTCAACCCCTTTTTTATGTGTAATACCGTAGTTATGCCGGTATTGTATGAATAATGTGTAGTACAGTATAATACTRTACACATACACACCATTAATGCCTGTCCTGTAATGTCTTATATAATATTTGAAACAAATACCAGCCTTTGGTTACGCATTCTTGATTTTATGAGAGAAATTGTTTTTAACAAACTTTGGTGTCTTTTTATGACTTTATTCTCTCCCTGTGCTCTCTCTCTCTCTCTCTCTCTCTCTCTCTCTCTCTCCTACTTTCTATCACTTACTCTCACTCTTATTCACTCACTTACTCACTCACTCTATATATACATGCCTTATGTCTTATCTCTACTTTTCAAAAGACAGATTTTATTTTTTTGGTGAGTAGTAGTAGTAGTCGTCTATTTTTAAACACTGAGCCCCGATATACATGTATATGCTGTTCCAGATGTACACTCAATACATGCTGAACAATATATATACCGGAGCAATATATATGCAACACTTGTGGTGACAGTGCTGTCTAAATGTTAAAACCGTCTTCACTCCAATATTGGCTTTTTTGTGTACTATAACATCAACTAATAATAAAAAAAAATTTTTTTTTGTATAACAGAAAAAATAACTATTGCTTTCTACTACATCTAAATCACAACCTTTGATGCAATGATTAAATGCAACGGAAAAAAATTTGAGAGAAAAATATATATAAAAGCTTTTCTTTTAACAAATAAATTACATCTAAAAACTGAAAAAAACACACATTGAATTGAAAGTTAAAAATATATAAATTATTGCTCACAAGTGGTTTTAGTGTCAATTTCATAAACAAATAGTGCTTTTTAATTGAGTTTTAACCATTTTTTTTTTTGAAAGACACATTCATATAAATATTTTAAGGGTAGTTAAGTCTCATTTTAAATTGCAATAAAATATGTGAAATTCAAGAATATACAATATTTTAGTCTAAATTTCGTTGCAAAAAAATCATCACATATTATACATATACAGTATAATCAAATGCATTATTGCGACAAAAAAAATAATTGCAAAACATTTCACACAAACATACCGTTGTCGATGATGTGGCTGTAGTTTCAAACTCTTCACTGATTTGCCGTAAACCCATTCCCACTGATCGTATGGTATCGGTATCGATGGGCAAACTGACCGAAACGGCACGTCTAGCCAGACTGTGATGATGACCGCCGCTGCTCGTGACCGATGATCGTAGCCGTACCTCAACAATGTCAACATTCACCACTACATCGGGCAATGGTTTACTGTGATCGACACTAACAACACCACCAACAGTGGACTCATGTCTACTACGGCGGTGCGCACCGATCGGCGGCGGTTCCTCTGTTGTCGACGACAGCGAGTCTTGTGATGAGCCGCTCATCACTACATCTAAAGCTGATGATTGAAGTATTATTGACGGCACTGTTGGCAGTGTTTCTGAGTCTTGTGCTGCACTCACGTCTGAATAGCAAAAAATTAAAAAATAAAAACAAATTATATATCACTTAATATATAATTTAGTCGTAAAGTATATATACTATATTAATATTGCAGTATATTTCGCGTCTCAATAAATGATTTTAATAGCAAAGATAGTCTCAAATTTGGGATCTTTTTTAGCGCTAATAGTCTGTGCAATAAAAAGTTTATTAATCTTTCAGTACTTAAACAGGGAGTCGTTTTTTGCAATATTTTTTTGAGTTAATATATATGATTGCAAACACACTGTTTTTCATTATGTAATAACCCATTGCATTAAAAATGAACAGCAAAAAAAAACATTTTTATTGATGGCAACAATTTTATTGTTTTTTATTTGCAAAAAAACTCATTCAAACAAAGTTTATATTTTTTCGAAAAGCATATCAAATTTAGTTGTTTTTTGTGACCAAATTTATGTGATTGACTTTCATTTGCAATCATTTTATTTGTTGAGTTTTTAGTCATCATCGGTAATGATGACAGTGTGTGTGTCTGTTTGTGTGTGGCTTTCAATTTATTGTGTTTTTAGTTGATAATGAAATTGTGCCGCACTTTCACTATTACTACTATTGCCGGACAAACCATTATATTCAATGAAAAAATAAAAGACAAACACACAAAACCATAGATAATAGTAATAACTTTTTATATATAAATGTAATCAAAACTAATGTCTAACTTTATATATATAATATCGTAAATGCCGTTATGTTGTGTGTGTATACAAAAAAGCGTACAATTTTTGCCATTAAATAACAAAACTTAAGTAAAAATTATAGTCAATTAAAGTCATGTGTGTATTGGATGTGAATGCATATGTTATTTGTATTTATTATTAATAATAAAGTTTTTTTTCTCTGGTCGTCAAATATATTAAAACTATTCATTCAGACAGACAGTATAGTATGTCTTATCGGAAAAAACAGTATCACTCTTTGGTCTCATAAAACGGTGCACTGAAATAAAAGTACATTAAGAGGAAGTATAGATATGGAAAGTACAGTATAAACTCTATTATTATATGAAATCATATATGATATGATAGTTAACTTCCATATCATCAAACAGTTTATGTCGTCCAACAAAGTTATAACTATAATCATATATTTTTTTGGTTTGTCATTCAAAATGTGAATTTATTAGCGATGAACACTAACTAAGGCATCAATACTACAGTTAAAGTGAGAGAATAGCTGGCAGTAAATCACACGCTTTATTATTAGTGCATACAATATATATGAGCCTATGTTTAGCGGCACAAGTAGTAAAAATTCTGTGGCCAAACAGTTTCATGTGTGCGGTTATATTTGCCTCAATAATAATGATTAGCCCTAACATTACAGTATATATATATATATATATATATATATATTTATGTGTATGTGTATTGAATGCAGATTTTGCTCATTTAATGGCTAATAAAAAACATTTCCTATCTCTCCAAACAAATATAATAATCTATTAAATGTTTGGAAAAACTTTTTCAAACCATTTAATGCTCTCTCTCTCTCTCTCTCTCTCTCTCTCTCTCTCTCTCTTTCTTTCTCTTCATCTCTATCTCTACTGTATATCCTAATCATCGCATTCAGTGTTTTGATGTGAAACACATACAATATAATACATATACTCATTATTACACTCACTCTCATATACTGTCATACACTTCACTTTTAGTCTAACTTTTCTCCACTTTTCACGGTTTCTGACTTTTAACTCCCACTCTCTCACACATCTCATCTCATTTCAAATCATCTCTCTCTCTCTCTCTCTCTCTCTTCTCTCTCTCTCTCTCTCTCTCTCTCTCTTTCATCTCATTCATTGCTAAATTATTGCCAATATTTTTTATATTTGTTTCTCTCTTTTCAGCAGTCAACTTTCACGACATAACGCATCAAACATTTAGTATATGATTAAAGTGTTTAAAAACAAATGTTTTGCGAAAAAATAGAGAGAGAGAGAGAGAGAGAGAGAGAGAGAGAGAGAGAGAGAGAGAGAGAGAGAGAGAGAGAGAGAGAAAGTTAGGATAACATATCAAACAGTGGCTGCACTTGTAGTAGTAGTAGTAGTAGTAGTAGTCGTAGTAATAATAGTAGTGGTATTGTTTGCCATTAAATGTAACGATTTATACCTGACATGCATTTACAAAATAAAATATAAAAAAAACTAGTGATTACTATCAAAAAATAGAAATGTATTATTTTTCTACTACAAAAAGACTAAGTTTTCATTTGATAGAGTGATGTAACTCATAGTTATATATAAGTTATATATAATGTATAATAAATATAAAGGCAATGAAAATGAAAAGCACTGTTTGTCACACTTTTTATGAGTGCAATATATTTTGCTTCTCATATCACTATAATATGACAGTAAAGGTCTACTACTGACACCACTACCAGTGCAACGGCTCTGGACATCATAATCGTTAGTATCAGTAATGAAAAGTTCGTGAAACTGGATGTCATTATCGTTTTGAAGTACGACTCGCGCGACATAACAGTCTCTCTCTCTCTCTCTCTCTCTCTCTCTMTATATATATATATATATATATATATATATATATATATATATATATATACAAAAGATCTATACATTTGATGCTTCCGTTAAAATAAAATAAGTATCGAAATGTTAACAAAAAAAACTAAATTTATTAAACTTTTATTTCTAATCAATTTCAATTCAATGTTATTTATATACTGTATATCAAAAACATAACGTTGTTCAAAATCATACATACAAATTGCCCCATTGATGGGTCAGTTAGCTTTTTAAAATAGTTTTATTTTTTTTTTTTTTTGTTCGGCTACTTTATTTTTAATACACAAAAAAGTCAACTCTGTTTTAAAGGTTTATTGAACTTTTTATTTTATTTTATTTTGTTTGATTAAAAGTGAGTCTAATATAGAGCCAAAAAACAAATCATAAGCCGAACCACTTTTTTCCATACATTAAAATAAAAAAAAGTCTCAATATATTTATAAGAAAAAAATAAGACTATATTAATAAAGTTAGAGACCTGATGGGTCTGTGCTCTGTGTATGCCTGTGCCCAATGCATGTATATATATATTGCTAACATTTGCCACCCTATAATCTATTAGCTATCACTTGCATCAATTACATTGGCATCAAGTGTCTGTCCGGCCCTTACACTTGTGCTCACTTGCCATCACTAAACCATTACCTCTATGTATGTATATATCAATCTATAGTTTATTCAAAACTTTTATTTCAAACTAACTTTATTTTCTTGTATATTAATCCACTTGAAGGTCAACTTAAACTACTTTTCTCTTACAGTTTTCTTACAGTTGACGAGTCTTTTTACGGTTATTTGGGAGGGCTTTCAATGAATTAATGTTTCGTGTATAACAATATCTATAGTCTGTAATATACATATTAATAATAATCATACAAAGTATATACTGAATATACAGTATATATATTTAGATGTGTTTTCAAGAAAAAACGAGTCAAACATCAAAACCAGTTTAAGACTCTCTCTCTCTCTCTCTCTTTCTTTCTTTCTTATTGATCGCCAGAAAAATAGAAAAATAGTGGCAAATGATATAAATAGAAATTATTATATCTTTTTTGAATTGAAGCCTCACTTCGGGGTCATTAAAGGGTCACATCCAAGCAAAAGGCAAACTAATATAATATACTAATGACTGTCTCAATCACATTACATGTTTAGTTACACTCACATACACGAGCTTTTCATCCAAAACAATTGGCAAAACAATATTGCCTTATATTATCATCATATAAATGCCATAAAGACATGACTTATACATACATACAAACTCAACCTCAAAGATCACGTATAGTCAGTTAGTAAACGCATAGATTTGTGTTAAAGTGTCTACAAAATTACTTTTAACAAACTTATGTTTAACACAACAATAAATATGGCATAACGTCTCTGACATATACAATAAAAAAATAAGTTTTTTGTACAATAATAATATTGTGTGGCAAACAAAACAAAAATGATTACCCATTTTTTTAAATTTTGGGACCAAATTGCATGCTATGACTATGAGCACTGGCCCAACAAATCTTTTTTTTAATACAACAATAAACTATTATTTATATATCTAAATACTAATACAACTCATATATACCCATATATGAACACAAACTAACACTTTATTTCAACAATTGTTTTCGCTTTCAATTGTATTGTCTGTGTATTTATTATTATAATAATATGGAGATATATTGCATCTCAAATGAGATCATATATTAGATTTGCTTTATATTTTTCAAGAGTTCACTGATGTTAGGGGTCGTCGTCGGTGCCAATGATGTGACACGCATTTTGGTCATTAGATAACACACCGCTTATACAATATATATATATATATATATATATATATATATATATATATATATATATATATATATATATATATATATATAATACTGTATAATAACATAAAAATGTGTAGACAATTGGGTAGTACAGGTAAAAAAAAGCGCTCAAAATTTTTGGCACAATATTAGTATTACACAATAATCAGCCGTAACCCATATCAGAGACCAGTCATTATAATAAAGTTTTTTTGTATATATAAATATATTGAAAGCGAAACTTTGTGCAAATGTTACAAAAGTTAGTAATCATAATCACATCTGAAATCTAATTACAACTTTTGCTGTTTTTTAGTTGTTTGATACATACAATAACCATATGATATATGAAAACTTTTTTTTTGTTTAGGGCAAAGAATATACAGAATTTACAATTGAATCACTGAATAATTCCCGGATTTAATTCTCAAATGAGAAAACCATTAGCCGATAGCATTGTTATGTTAGGTACCGATGCCTTTACAGTTCACTTTACACTAGAGTAATGTTTTGATCGGAAATGTGTGTACGTATCTGTATGTATGTGTGTGTAAATTAATGTAAAAATTTAAGTGTTAGTGTTACTAACTTATAAGTCTATTATGATATGTGTTGGTATTAGCTAAACATTAACCAAATCAATGCGAGTCAACTAAATGTCATTTGTCATTGCAATTCATTTTTCATTTCACACATACTGACAGTCTCTCTCTCTCTCTCTCTCTCTCTCTCTCTCTCTCTCTCTCTCTCACTCACTCACTCACTCACTCACTTTCAATCATTATAAACTATTCCCTGATATATATACAGTTCCCTTATTCCCCGATTCCTAACGTTTATTTCAAAGTCATAGATCTTTTTTCAATACTAGAAAACTAGTGATCAACTAAATTAAACAAATTAAACCTATACTCTCATATATATAATACTATCTGTCATTGAATTTTAATGGCACTGTTGTTGGCTTTTGGTCAACACAAATCTTATTTTTACACTTTATTTTTAGCACCATTTATTATTTAGAGGGGAAAACCATTTATTTTTCACAAAATTTTGATGTTTGCTATCTCTCTCTCTCTCTCTCTCTCTAACTTTTAAATGCATTTAAAGCAAACAACATTACTAATGACTTATTGTTATTATTCATGAATAATACATAAATGCATAAAGAGTTATTACTGGTATTATTATTAATAATATTATTTATAATGTGTTGGAAAACAGGAGTTTCTTGAAACACCAGTCAGTCTRTGTGCAGACAATAATAAACTTTTTTGTGTTTCAATTTATTATTATTTACTTATTTTTTGAATCCAATAATAAGAAAAAAAGTTGATCTTTATCTTAATGTCATCTCTAATTTAGTGCACACGTTATCTCACAAACCATATTATACGGGAAAATACGGTTAAAAAACAGTGAACAGAGAGAGAGAGAGAGAGAGAGAGAGAGAGAGAGAGAGAGAGAGAGAGAGAGAGAGAGGAAAGTTTTTCTGTAAATTTGATAAAAAATTAATCTTTAAAGTAGTTTATATATACCGTATATATATTTAAGTTAAAAGCCAGAGTGAATGAGACAAAAAACTTTATAATATTTATTTTATTAAAAAGTAGTGATATATTTGTCTGACAATTGTTTTAATCTTTATTTTATTTTTTTGAAACAACAATAAGTGATAAAAGTTATTGACTTTTGTTTTATGACAGTATGAGAGAAAAATAGATAAATTGATAAAAGAGAGAGAGAGAGAGAGAGAGAGAGAGAGAGAGAGAGAGCACTTTATCTTTAGTTGTTTCAAGTGGAGTGTGTTTTGTAATCTATAAGTGCGTCCAATAATTGATATTAAGACAAGGCCTGAGGCCTAACGAGTTTGAGGGCACACATACAGTGAACATCTATTTCCAGTGCCATCTCCTTAGCAATTGATAAGTCCGAAGCCTTATAGCACTCCTTAAACATATTGAATGCATTATCTCTAATATTGACTCTCTTTCTATATATATATGAACCACTATTAGACTATTACTACTGACAGTAATCACAACTACACCACTGGTTTTTGGGAGACTTTTAAGTAGTAGTAGTGGTGAGGGTTGAGAGGGAAGAGGAAAGGCACACGAAAGAGGAGAGCAAAATCCCGTTGCACTGCTCGAGCCATCGCTTTTCACAGTGTTGTTAGGAGATGGATGTGATCGCACCTGGGATGTGATGGCCTGCCTAGCCATCAGTGAGTCAACATATATATATATATAGCTAACAGCCTAAATCAGGTCCCGGACAACCTCATGACCTTATGTTTAGTTCATTCCCTTTTCAATACGCAATACTATACTTGTGTTAACTCAATGTTATGATTTACGAGAGAGAGTCGAGAGAGCACAGGGAGAGAGAGAGAGAGATAGGAGAGAGTGAGAGTGTACTAACACTATAGACACTATATATTTGTATAGATTTTGATGTGTTTGTTGTATATGTGTTGTGTTATGTTATAGTGTGTGTACACTAAACGATATATGAAAACCCGTCTGACAGAAGTACAACCAAAAAAATAAGTTAAAAGTAAAGCAAAAGCTAAAGTAACGCCACTTTATATATATATACTGTATATATACGCCAACCCCAAGGTTATCGGGTTTGTACGGCTCCGTTCATTGCCGTGTTGTCCCCAGCCGTACAACCGTTTCCTTACAACAGTGCCATCAGTGCCACGATTTGTCCCAATATATTAGGGCTCTTAATATTGCATTATATTTTTTTGTATATTTATATATTGATGTATTTGATGGCTCAAAATTATCATTAATAGCTAAACTGGTTCAGACACACCACTAAACAACTATACAGTGTATATACAGAACACAGACAGCGCTCCCAATATATATATATATAATAAGTATACTGTATATGATTACTACTTGTCTGTGTATACCTACAGTTAGGTTACGTAATGGACAGAACTGGTGTATTGAGCACTGATAGTATTGATGAGAGGGTGAGAGGTATATACAGTATATATATATATATATATATATATATATTTGTACACTATAAGGGCTGGTTTGATCACCGCAATGATAACAGTGACAATTGTAATAACAATAAATGCATGCATTACTGTTTCACTTGGACTCACAAATATAAAGCAAATATACAGATATATAGAGGAGAGAGAGAGAGAGAGAGAGAGAGAGAGAGAGAGAGAGAGAGAGAGAGAGAGARAGAGAGAGAGAGAGAGAGAGTCACTTAAATATATGTTATAAATATAAATAAAAAATATAGTATACATTGATAGGTCTATGGTTTTGTGATGTTTTTATTAACTTTGTTTTTATTGTTTTACTATTAATGTTTTTATTAGCTGAAACTTTTTTTAAAAAAAAATGCTAACCGTGTGCAGCTTTGGGATCTCTTCGGCACAATTGCATCAAAAATATAATGTATATAAATATACACTTTACTTATATACAAATTGTGTGCATTGAGTGGTACATCACATCCCAAAGCGTATAGCATTTGAAAATGATTTGTTTTGATACCCAAATAAAAATCAAGTCTATTGACAAAATTCAAGCTTATTGACAATTTTTGACTCTATATTTATACTAATATATACTGTATATGGTTTTATAAGCCTAATAAAAACTGATATCACATATATTCAAGTAAATATATAAATCAATATATTCAATAAAACTAGAAAAATCACTTTTCATTCAATAAATAAATAAATCCGATATTTTTCAGCGGGAATTATATTTCTATAAACTGAAAGTGATTTTTTTATTATTTCAATTTATGCAAAAACACAAACACATATTAATAAATATATTATTGCATTGAAATTATTTTTGCAACACCTATTGTTAGAACTTATTATTGTTATTATGCAAATTAATTTTAATTAATTTAAGTCAACATTTTTTTAACAGTACATTAAATAAGCGCTAATAATATTCGCATTTAAAAATTACATATTGTTTAAGTGGTTAGTTTTGTAATAATTAATTTAAATAACAATATTATTATTAAATATGCAAATGATTGCCAATTAGTAACAAATATGACTATTTAACGACAAAAAACAAAACATTGAATTACCTGATTGTTGTGTAGTCATGTGTGGAGCGCTATTGACTCCGCCAAAAAAGTGCCGGCGCTTACAACCGCAATCATAGGGCGGATGACCCACCAGACAGTTGATCCCAGAGTCGTACGGTGCAGAAAGCGATGGTGTGATTGTCGTCGTTGTCAACGGAGTGAAGGCGTGACCCGAATCGGTGGACATTTCGCTCAACGAATATGTTTGTCTTCGGTTTCGACTTTGATTCTTGCGTATGGGAATCGGTGAACTGCGGGCTCTTCTCATCATATGTAACGAYACACCAGTAGTACTGTTGACTACCTGTGCCGACGATTCTTGTTTTTCATTTACAACATTGTCATTGTAGTCGTCCGCCTCCATCTCAACTTCAAATTCTTTCTCATTGTTTACATCATCAGACTCTTCATTGTCTTCGTCTACAAAATCATCATTGAAGACATTGTCATCAAAATCAAGAGCATCGTCGTCATCATCATCGACGGCTTCGTCGCCGTTGATGTCTGATCCGAGTGAACGGCTATGCATTGATGACTCGCCGCTGTCGAAGCTCAACAACTTTGAGTCGTTATTCTTCCAGACAATTGTCAACGGATTCTCTTGTGTTTCGTCAGTGCTCGACATCGACCAAACTCTTGTCATATTTTTGTTATTAAAAAAAATTTTTWTTTTTTTTGGTTGATTTAATAGTGAGATATTATTCAGTAATTAAAATAAAAATATTAGTATTATTACACAATAACTTTATTTAAACAAAAATAAAAACTTTTTGATTAAAAACTTTTTCTCTTCAAAAGTCTTCAAAAAACTTTTTTCCGGGCAATAGTTAGTTAAGTCTCTCTCACTCTCTGTGTGTCAGTTCAGTGACAAACTGTTGAACTCAACTCAACACACGTTCATATTATATACGACTGACTCTCTCTCTCCTAACAAACAGCACACAACTTCTCCAACCAAACACAACATATACTACAACAAGAAGAGCTACACCAGCGCTACTCATACATACACACACATACACACACACACACACACACACACACTCATCTCATCTCTCCCATAGCTATACACACTGTACTGTACATACACTTACAGAATAATAATAATAATTCACTTCCAGTAGTAGTAGTAGTAGTAGTAATAGTACTGTATATTCTACCAGTGCTTGTATTACTGTACTGGCGCTTACAGTGCGCGGCTATCAGGGTATTGCATATACTGTATATATATAATATATAAATAAATATATTAGAAAACAACAAAATATGATCATAAAAATTGAATCCTTTACTTCCAATTATTGTTTTTTATATATATATAATATTTTTTTGCTGCTAAATAATTAAAATATTTTTAATATTTGTCATTTATAGGGAAGCAAACAAATAAAAATGTTTGTTTGTTTTTTAATGAGTCACGCGATTCACAATTATTAATTAAGTTATTTAGCGCTAAATATGCTAATATTGTTATACATTATACTACTAGTAGTATTATGATAGTAGTAATAGTGAAGTCATTGTTAGATTTTTTATAATTATAATTATTAATAAGACTTAATCCGGTCATCAATAATATATATAATAATTTACACTAATATTTGTTACGTTATACTCAATGAAATATTATTTTTTTTCTCTATCTCTCTCACAATAATAAACATACAATTGAAACAAAATTAATAAACTAACAAAAAAAACTGTTGCCTCACTTTTTTTTAATAGACCATTCAAATGGATAATCAATTATATGAGTTAGTATTTTATGTGTTGTCTTGAAATTCCCTAATTTATGTCAAACGTGTGTTTCTTTGGAAAAAAATATATTTATATATTTGTTTTAATTTGTAACAAAATAAAACATTTTACTGATTTATTACATTTTTTTAGCACGTGTTCAACAAGTTAGACAATTATCTTGACAATTTAATAGTGTCGTATGACATACACACACAAGTTTGTATATAATTTATGCATATGACCCAGATACACTGTGAAATTATATATATATATAATTTATATATGATATATACTGTATAAAAATATAATTAATATATCAAAATACTGAAATTTATTAAATATATAATTAATATTTTGATTTAAACAAAAATATAATTATACAAAAAAACAGTGTGTGTCAACTCGATAATCCAGTTGAATATATCATATATATATGTTATAAAAAGATAGTGATTAATACTTACTGTATTATAAAATTTGATTGATTTTAATGTCTACTAATACCCCATATAATACACTGTATAAGTGATATGATAATTGAGCGGCTCTCTCAGTGATGATGATAAAGCACATTAAACAATGTTAGGGCCTATTAGGCTATTATACTGTAATTGAATTTACAATTACTGTTTTTTTAAATATTATTATCATAAGCGCCGATACACACCACTTAGTTGTTATTATGAATTCACAGGTAATATATGCATAAAAATTGTTTATCTATGAATCATACATTCAGTGCCTATGACTTTCAGTCAGTGATAGTTAACATTTTGGGAAATAACATTCMATTGATTGTTTAATAAAAAAATAAAAATCCGGACAACATTTCACTGTAATACTAATAATGCTATTTTTATGTCTATTGAAAATACAATATATCACTATTGAAACAATCATTGTGAATGTGTTGTTAAAAATAATGCAAACACAATATAATCTATACAATTAAAATAAAAATACAAACCCATAGTTATATGTCATAAATACAATATACAGTATATATCTCTACATAATAATTCAATTATACAATAAAATGGTATTTTTTAACAAGATATCATTATATTTAATTWTATTTAAAAAGTTTTTACTCTCTTTTATGTAAAATAAATGTTAATTATTAATTTTAAGTKCATTATAWTATAATGTATAMAGTATTATCATATATGCATATGACGTGCCAATAACGTAGCGATAGGGTTAGATAGGAATAGGAAAGGTAGGGTCAACTGTTTGTGTTGTGGGTCTCTCTMTRTTTGTTTTGATTGTATTGTATTTAGTATTCACTGTATTATCTGACAATTTATTAATATATTTTTAGGATTGGGGTCATAGGTTTTTGATGGACAAGTGTTTGTAATAGTTGTCCCAAAAGAGAGACACATAAATACACTGTATATAGCAGACAGGGGATGGGGTTTAATGGAAACTTATTATTGTTATTAAAGCGATTTAAATTGCATTTAAAAAAGCACATAAACACACACATACATACACACACACACACACACACACACACACACACACACACACATACACATACACACACACACACATACACACACAACACAACAACTTTACTGTTTGAAACTTATATTAAGCATTTCATCACTTGAAATGTCTAAAGCAATTTGAAAACATAGTATTGTTGGCTACATATATAAAATTATATACAATGTATATATGTGTGTACAGTATATATTGTATATAACACCAAACCAATACACATTATTGACGTTCAGTTAAATGAATGGCTCAGTCCTATTATATATGTATTTATGGCTTTTCTGTAAAATAAGCCCCCGGGCGGGTGCGACTGGTGCTGATCTTATGTCGAGGGTTATTGAGTCCGGCCTATTGAGTGAATGAGCCGAGAGGGTACTACCGGGAGAAGGAGAGAAACATACACACACACAGAAAGAAAGAGAGAGAGAGAGAGAGCTCACCAGTGGTTAACAATACTAGCTTTTAAAAGTAGTATAAGCTTTAAGTAAAGTCTAGGCAAATGTGAGATAAAATAAAATAGAGGGAAGATTTTTAGTATAGGTTTCAAATTTTAATGAGTTTTTGGGTAAACTGTTTGTTTGAAACCTGATTGAGTCATAGCTTTTTCTTAATAACCACTAATAACTTAAATATGATTCATACATTTTGTTTACATATACACTACACATACTGTACATACATACACACAAACACACAGTATAATAAATGTTGTAATTTAAGCGCTGAAATATATTCAATATATTTATATCATATATGTTTCTATTGCTATATAATATGCTGTAAATATGTTAAAATATATTTAAATAAATTATTTTTACTCTAWATGTATTATATATAATATATCAAGTTTTCTAATATATTTATCTCTTTTATCAACGTATCGATTGTTTATTTTATTTTGCAATGTTTTCTTTTTTATTATTATTATTATTATAAACTTTGATGAAAATCAATACATTAGGAATTAAAAAAAATGATAATTTGATTTATAATTGACAAATTAAAAAGCAAAACGACTTATGTCTAAACATTAGTGAATGCAATTGATTATAACTAAATAGAGAAAAATTAGTGTAATTATTTGATATTAACATTTGATATACATTTTGATATTATGCATATGATAAATGAGCATGCGACAAAAACCAAATGTTTATATAAAATAAGATAGATATATAATTTTTTTTATATATATATACCGCTATTTACTGTATATATATATATATATATATTCATATCAATTAAATAAGCCAGGATCAATGTCAATTATATAATATTATGTTTCAACTATATATGTCTTATCATTGGATATTTATTTGAAATTAGCATTACATTTAATGCGATAATATCTTATTTATCAAAAATAAAGTTTTTTATTTATAACTTATTAATACTTGGAGTTGTTTTTTTATTTTTGTTTAGAAAATTCATGTCAAATGAATCACACATTTTTTATTTTTTTAGTTAGTTAACAGTAATATTGTGTTAGCAATTGAATGGGGACAATGAACTAACAAAAAACTTATACATACATTATATTACTGTATAATTGTCGATAAAGTTGTTATGTGTTYTTTCAATATTTTAATATAGTTAAAAATCAAGGTTATTTGCAAATTATAAAATTCATGCAATAGGATATTGTGTGTGCAATGTATTGAAATTTATAATGCAATATTGAAATTGATTTTTTGCTATTTTTTAAACAAAAAAGCTATAAAAGTTATATTTAATAGAAATAATTTTCTATGTTTATTGCTATTATAATAATATGGTAATACTAATAAAAAATTGAAATTATAATAGAAATTATTTAAATAAACCAAAATTTCAAATTTGCAAAATTATAAATATAGTGTTAAAAAATAATGCTAACAAAAAAATTAGATAATAAAAATTATTCAAATATTTTGTTTCTAAATMTGATTATTAAATTTATGATAGATTTTTTCTGGTATGAATTTTAAATAAGTAATTCTCACTTTATGGTAACAAAATATTAAATATGTTTTTTTTGTTGAAAAAAAATAATTTATGCCAATATTATGATTAAAACTCAATCAAATTCATCCCAAAATCTTGTTAACACATAAAAAGTTAACTCCTGTAGTGATCACACTATTGATCATTAAAATTGAATTTTGTTTGTCATATATATATATATAATAAATAAGTTCTGTATACATATAAACTGTATATTAAATATAATAATAATAATAATACAATAGACTGGCTTTCAATTTCATGCCATGAATTAASCATTACTTTTGTGTGATAATGAAAAGTTTGGCCCAAAAAAATACAGTATTACTACTGTATATAAAATCATGACATAAATCTGTTACAAAAACTCTTGAAATCTATGGTCAGTCGTACAGTGTATAGTAAATGTAATCCCCGGAGATGTCATCACCGAAAAAAAAATCTAGAGATCCTATGGCTTTGTTTTGATAGGAAAAAGGATGACTACTTGATATATAATTATGTTTTCTATATTTTTATTGAATATAAATGAGTTATAAAAGTATATAACCAAAAACAACTAACATATTATAATAACAGTGTCTAAGTGTGTGTGTGTCTCTCAAAAAGCAGATTATATTATTATATATATGTTATGTAYGTTATGTTTTTGGGTGACCACTAATCTAATTGAGCTCAAAATAAAAATACAAATCCCATTCATCCATATAATGCATTTTAGTTGTACGGCATGTACTTCTCATTGAGTGGACAGACCATTAAAGTGGATGAGCAGACCTTTAACTGACCACTGGTTGTGTGTGTGTGTGTGTATTGCTTAACCAAATTAACTCGCGGCTTGAAATCAGATATTTTTGTCATCTGCTTAAGCATTAAAGTAAAGCAAAACAACAAAAAAGCTTTGCATTTATTATTATTATTATATTTTTATATTATGTATTAAGAGTTACTGTATATACAGTAAATATTAAATATATTGTTTGTAATGTTTGGTTTTGTTATCAGTGGATAGAAAAAAATTGTTACAATCATATCAAACAACAATCATATACACTATAAGTTATATACTCTATAATATAAAAGAGTGCTCTAAAAGAGTATACTCTCATAGAGTCAATGGTGTGCCGACTGTTTTATGGACAGACCATTGTCATTGGGAAAGTTGGTTTTTGTTGGTTATACAGTATAACTTATACTATCTACTAAAAGCAAATTAATTTACTATTTTTAATGCAATGCTTTTCTTTGCCTATAATAAATGTTATTATTGTCATTAATAATAATAACTGCTATAAACATAATAATAAAACAACACAACAACTCTTATTAATTTTGGCAAAAATAAATGCAAACATTTTTATATACATTTTTATCTACTGTAGCGATAATAATAAATGTATTTTATTATACATTTTTATTAAATATATGGTAGACATGAAAAACAAATTTAAATAACGACATCAAATTAGATTAAATGTCATCAAAAACTATAAAATATTGCAACAAAACTAAACAATTTAGTAAAACTTTTTTTGTTCAAGAGTTATATCAATATACAGCAAAATGTTAGTAATATTTTGCATATAAGTTATACAWAGTATTACATACAYAAGCAATAACTCAATCTTACAAATTATGTGAACAAAACAGATGTTATTGTAGACGATAGATATACTGTATATATATTCAATATATATATATAAATAGTTAGAGTGAAGGCATAAAAATTAGTTAGGTTTTTGATAGGACTCATAATTTGGTGATTACTCTTATATATATTATATATAGATTAGTTAATAATAATAATAGTCATAAAGTGGGAAACTGTATCGCTTAATATATAATGCGATGGGTATATACAGTATATATATATATATATAATGTATTTATAGGTAGTATCTACTGGTAGTTTAGATATATACAGTATATGGATGTTTGATGTCCAATAAAGGTGTTCATAGAGTGATCAGCCAATATTCACTGAACGGGCTATTATAATAAATTGCTAACATTTAAT